GGGCAACACAGGCTGACTAAGTCTGCTCACCTAAGAGTGCCAAGAGTCTAAGCAGGCAACAAGGAAGTGCAGGTGATCAGGTCATATGACCAAGGATGAGGTCATATGAGGTCATGCACAGCCATGCACAGCAGGTCACCTGACCATCCAATCCTTCCAGCAGGTTCCAGCACATGCCAAGGTATACCCGCTACTTCCATGTCATAAAGGCTTAGTCATGTCTCTTGACCAAGCAATGAGCTGGTGCCCTGACAGCTGTACAGCCTGCCCAACCTTTGGTATAGCCCAATGCCATCCATGTTCACAATTTGGGAATGCCAACACATAATGCAATGGCATATATGCAGGGTTGCCAGTGCTCATAATTGTGAGCTGTCCATCTGTGCAGTTATGTAGCACAAAGTCCTCCCTTTGCTCATTTGTGAGTGTATTAGGGAGGACAACAGCAACTTCTTCCACAGTTGGCAAGTTATAGTGGCATTGGTCTTGCTTCAGGTCAAAATGCAGGTGTACTTCCACCACTTCATTGGGTCTTCCAGCCTCTATTTTGTGCCTCTCCTGTTCCTTCAGAACCTCAAATGCATGCTGAAATTGCTCTGCATAAAAGTGTTTCTCTCGCAGGACCTCACCCAACTCCCACAGGATTTGTGGCCTAAGATTTGTGTTGCATCATGCACATTCTATGTTGGCCCCCTGTGGGTCCACAAAGTATAGCTGATTGTATGCTGGGTGTGTCTCTCCAACTGGGTGAGCTGGTCCATAGCAATGGTAGAGTCCTCCTTGTATAGAAAAAGACTGTATACCTTGTGCTTGTGGAATTGCATCACTTCTAGTTGCAGCAAGTGAAACAAAAGAGAGTGCATGATTATACTGCTGGATATTCTCTTTGAAGTGCCTTGCATGTTCACCATCAGAGGCCATCAGTCTTGCTAGCTCTGGTGGCACTGGCAAGAAATCAGGGAGCTGTATTTGACCATGTAGACAGCATTTTGTGAATATTGGCTCTGCAATGGTCAAGTGTCCTGCATGTTCTTTAATGAAGTGTAAGGCAAGACAGAAGGCACAGGGCCTATCCATCCTGCCTAGGTAAATTGCTTTGTGGCGATTGTGAGCAGCCTTTTCTGCATACTGCTGCACTTCATGTGGTTGCCATGCATGGGGGACTTGTGATGCTTGTATTGCATTTTGTGCCTCCAGTTCTCTTTGCCGCCTTTTTTCTTCCTCAATTACTTCATTCTGCCCTTGATCATTTTGCCCTCCAAGTCCCAGATCATTTCCTTCTTGATGTGGTAGCTGGAGCTCCTCCAGCTGCAGTTCCACAAAGTCTAGATGACCAAAAGGCATTCCAAAATCATTATCCCTGCAGGCTTGCTGTGAGGCAGACTGATTTTGATGCTGCTGAGAAGCCCTTTCAGCAAAGCCATTGCTGATGAGATAATGTTTGCATAGGAGGAATGAGTGATGATATAGGGACTGCATTGACAGTAGCAAGATTTGTGGTAGCAGGTCCAAATGGCCTTTGAAGTAATGGGTCAGGTCTCTGGTGCTCCAAGTTAGCACTCTGATGGCTAAATACTGGCTGTGGAATGGGGGTGTGATCATAGGGCAAGCAGGTAAGGTGTTCACTTGGTGATGTCAAGTTTTGTTCACATCTTGCATGGTCTTCACTTCTCTGTGAAGAGCAGGGTGTTGTAGGCTCTGACCTACACCAATTGAGTTCCCTTTAAGCATACCCTGCAATCCCCTTCAAATCCTGATTCACTTACATGATAATACACTTTGTGTAACAGTTCATGATTTTGTTTGTTTTGTTCGATAAGTGTGTCTTGTGTTCTATAGTCAAATAAAATACCAATTAATTTCCGAGGGTCAACCAACATTCAACAATTACACACTTTATTTTTCCACAGTGGCAGCAGTCACAACATGAATAATTAATTATTTGTGTTGTATGGGTCCAGATACTATCAATTATTGTTTTGCTTCCTTCTTCCCCACATAGTAGGAAACAGACCCTGGGAGTGACACCCCTATCCAATCACCCTATGAGCGTGATGTTTTTGGGAATCTATTCACGCGCCTCCGGAAGTGTGTCACAATTTTTGTTTCAGTTTTTTGTACATTTTTTGTACACTTTTGTGTAGTCAGAAAATTATTAAATTTTATAATCTTGCTATTAGAAAGTGTACAAATGTGAGCTAGGGTCCGAAATCCGCGTCGCATTTTTGAGGGTCTTACCCGGGCTCTTACAATCAAGTGTACACTTTTGTACACTTTATACACTTTTTCGTAGTTAGAAAATTTACTAATAAATTTGTTAACTTACCATTAGAAAGTGTACAAATGCCAGCAAGGGTCCAAATTCCGCGAGGGTCTCACCCGGGCTCTTACAATCAAGTGTACACTTTGTACACTTTTTTGTAGGTAGAAATTTATTAATAAATTTATTAACCTACTATTGAAAAGTGTACAAATGTCAGCAAGGGTCCCAAATCCGCGTCGCATTTTTGAGGGTCTCACCCGGGCTCCTACAATCAAGTGTACACTTTTGTACACTTTATACACTTTTTTGTGGTTAAGGATTTTTTAATTAATAGTTGTATTACTACTCTAATACAAAATGTACTAATTTCTGTCAGGGTCCGACATCCGCGTCTAGCACCCCCCAAATGCCACGTGCGCTTGTGTACACCGCCACGGGGGGGTCGCTATTAATTATTAGATCGCAAATGGTGTAGGCATTATCTATTAAAGTAATGGCAAAGTGGAACCCAAACAATGCAAGCGCCAGCTGAGCTGGCACAGACTCTGGCATACTTTGAAGCGGTCCTTGGACTTAAAACTGAATGCACTCATGGGGAGAAAGGATCGAGTTGATAGTTATTATCATACCTATATATGTTGATGTCCCTCGAGCTCGTACCGCGCATCTGGTACATCATCTTTATCTGGCGATGGTCATGGCATTCTGTTCATGTACATCGTTCCCATGTCTGCTCATCCAACAGGAATAGCGTTCACTCCGCTCGCCACGGGACGTTTGGGCCTACCTGTCTCCCCCTGCCGTCCCTTTCCATCTTTCGCCTTTTTCTCCCGGTGCTCCTTCTTCCACTCCTTGTTAATCCCCTTAGCCTCCTCCGCTCCCTGCTTCGCATACTCCCTGAGCTTTTCAGCGGCGTTTTTCCTCTTGTCCTCCAACCGCCTCTTCCTCTTCTCCCCACTTCCTCCACCTCCAACCGTAAGCTCGACATTGATCATCTTTCCTCCCAAGTTGCTCCTGTGCAGCTTGAGGGCAGCCTGCAAGGAGGCAGAGTCGGAGAACTCGAGGAACGCGAAGATTTTGGGGCGGGATTTGGGCTGGCTCTTTGCGTTAGAAGCAGCGTTGGGTGTATTGGGTGTGCCGGGGGGACGGCGAAGACGGATGGTAGGTGTTGTTGGGAGGGAAGAGAAATGTGCCGCCAGCTGATGGTCGGTCACATCCTTTGGCAGATTGCCTACACTATGTCAGCGGAATACAAAATCACAAAAAATAAAACGTACCAACAAAAAGCAGATAGCGCTTCTTCTTCTGCGCCTGGGCTTTCTTCCCCTCGCCGTCCTTCCCTTTAGGCTCCTTCTCTCCAGCAACAGCAGCCCCATCATCCCCTTTCCGTTTCTTCGTCCCCTTCCCCTCTCCGTTCTCTTCCCCTCTCTTCCTCTTCTTCCCCGTCTCTTGTTGTGCGAACCTGATCACTTGGGGCTCAGCGTCTGCATCTTCGTCAACGGGCACATCATTGAGAGCTTCGGCCTCGGGCAGGTCTCGTAAATCCTCCTCGGATGGTTTGGTCTTCTGCCGTTTGCCCTGGCGGAAGGCGAGCGACTTGCGCTGTTTTTTGGTGAGCTTTTTGTCTTCTGCCATCTTTCAATGTCCTGGCGTGAGAGTGTAAGATATGGTCGTTGTTTTTGCTGCAGTAGGGGTTCAGTCGACTCCATAATTTTGGTGCAGAGCGGAACTAATTGTTGAGCGCTTCTTTTCATGCCAGTGTTTGTCTTCTCATGCACACAGTCATCATCCTTCACTCTTCCCAAGTTCTGCCAGCTCGGATGAACATACGATGCGGGGCAACTCATGTCTGCCAATTATATCTGATAAATGCCTCTCCCGGTCCGCTCCACCTTACGCTCTTCTCCCTCTCTCCCCGCGCATCCAATACGGTCCGACTGTATTCGCGTCTCCACTTGTGTCATGACCCGGCTCGGAGGTTGTGCGGTTCGCGAAGACGTCGGCGAAAGATCGGAAAGTTGAACATCTTGGGCTTTTGTGCGACCTCTTGCTGCATATGGAAGCTAGACAGACGGATTTATGCCTTGATGAACACTTCTGGCCCTGGTGTCGGCTCACACGTTCCGCATGCTGGCAAACCATGTCTATTCTGTGCATCGTACTTAAACTGATCTCTGGGATGAAGGACGATGAGCTGTCTGTCTCTCAGATCAAGCCCTCAGTTTCGCCGCTATGCTTAAGTTTCTGGCATGCACAGCGCTTCTCTCGAGCACGGTGCTCGCGCAGACGCCTTTTGAGAATCCGCTCATAGTGAACACTACGAGTGGCATGATCCAGGGCTATCTCGATCCTTGCACAACCGACGTCAACCTGTACAAGTGGTATGGTGTGCACTTCGCCGAGTCTACCGCAGGCGCAAACCGCTGGGCTCCCCCTGTGCCCTATGCGTACCGCCCGGGTATCACCAATACGACGGCATTTGGCGCGGCCTGCATGCAAGGAGGCGCGAATGGAGGTAATGGAACACAGGTACAGAGCGAGGACTGCTTGTTTATCAATATCGTTGCCCCTGTCGGAGCGAAAGACTTGCCAGTGTACATCTACACATTGTACGTAACAACCGATTCCTTTTACTGCAGCAGGTATTGACTTCCAACCAGCGGCGGTGGATTCGACAGCAACGCCGCTTCCGATCCTAAGATCGACGGGTCCTGGCTCGCCTCACGAGACATCGTATATGTGAACTACAACTACCGTGTTTCTCTCTGGGCCTGGCCGCACGCCGCCGAGATTGCCGAAGCAGGTGAGACTCAGAATTTCGGCCTGCTCGATGCCCGTGCTGCTGTCGAGTGGACGAGGGATAACATCGCCGCTTTTGGTGGTGATCCGACTAAGATGACGCTTGGAGGTGAGCTATTCTCCAACTTGGCAAGCGAGGGTTGCTCATGCCCTGCCCAGGCGAGTCAGTCGGTGCAGAGATGACCAACATGTACATGGCCGCCTTCCCCACTGACCCTATTGTCCGTGCGGCCGTGATGCAAAGTTCCGATAGTAAGGGCTAACTTCACCCTACACAAAGATGATCTAACGCAATCGCAGCCTCCCAGCCAATGTACGAACTCGGCAACCAGCTCATCCCCATATCGCAAAACCTCTCCTGCCCAACTGGCGCCGGACAGCTCGCCTGCCTCCGTACGAAAGACGCCTTTGCCCTCCAGGCAATCCTGCTCTCGTCCGGTGCTCAGTTCCAGCCGGTCATCGATAACATCACCGTCTTCCAGGACTATGTCCGTATGACTATCATCGGGCAGACGGCGAAGATCCCGTTGCTGATTGGGAACAACAAGGTTTGTGGTCTTGCCTACCCTCAGCCCAAGCTGAACAGAACATGTCCAGGATGAAGGCCAGACAATCGTCAATGGGGAACCAACATCCTACACAAACGAGACGGCCTACATGTGTGTGCGCTAATCTTTTGCGGGCCAACGACTAACTCCGCACAGCATGAGCGACAACCTCAACTTCCCAATGGCAAACGTCGATGCCGTCCTCTCCCTGTACCCCTCTCCCTCACCCCAGTATCCAAGCATCATCAACGCTACGGCGGCGATATGGCGCGATGCACACATGATCTGCTTGTCGAGCAACCTCGCGCTGTGGAGGACGCAGCTCTGGAAACTCCCGGTGTGGAGGTATCAGTTTGCGATGGTTGCTGATAACTTGAGTGCGCAAGGCGCGAGTATTGGAACGTATCATGGAGAGGATATCCAATTTGTTATGGGGTAGGTTCCTCCCCTACTACCCTCCTGAATTTGATCTAATGAGGGGGTAGGACGATGTACACCTGGGCGGACCAGGCGCCATATATCCACGCCACGCCCTACGAGCTGAACGCATCGGACTACATGGTGACCGCCTGGACAAACTTCGTGAAGAGTACGTTCCTCCCTGCCCGCATTCCATCCAATACACTCGTCTAACCCCCCACAGACCCGGAACTCGGCCCCCAGATCGAAGGTTGGAGGCAATACGACCCCTCTGATCCGACGAGCCTCGCTGTCCTCGGTGTTTCTGCTACGGGCGCTCTGCCGGGTAATACGACGCAGATCGATGCTACGTGCCAGTATTGGAACCAGCTGCTGCCGGTATATCCAAGGACATACTCCGCTTGTGGCTCTTGGACGTGCTAGCATGAAGTAGCGTAGATTGATAATAAATACAAAAAACCAATGCAACGTGAATGATTTGTGGACATCCCCGGCTAGCACTTCTGGCTGCTCCAATATATACTCCCAAATCATCTCCTTTGTCAATCGATTATGCAGATCGACTGATTCTTGGTAGACTGAAGTTATATATGGCTGTGGCGACCATATGGTTGAGGAACGAACGCCGTGGTGAATCTGGGCATGGTTGACGTCACGGAGGAAGAGAAGGGGATTTGGTGAAAACAACTGCAACATCCGCGCGGATCCAAAGAGCCTCTGTGTCAGTCAGCCGCCACACCGCTACTTAACCTTATTTAACAACCATCAGCAATCCAACTCATATGGCGAGGGCATTTTGGCATCTTCTGCCGCTTATAATCTCCTTATATCTACCGTGCCCTCATCGGCAATAGGCGACATGGACGTAACCAGAGCCAGCCTTCCAGCAGACCGCATTCCCCAGCCTGACTCTGCCCCGAAGAACTTCTCGTTCACCAAGCTTACCAACAATGTGTTGCACGACATCCCATCTGTCATATTGTGGTCCGATGTCAAGGCCGATTGGCTTGTCTTTATCACCAATGATGGGTCCGTTTATGCGGTGCACTGGTTGGAACAAATGTCTGCACAGAGGCCAAAGTTGAACATCATCAGCTAGCAACATTCTCCGAACAGAGAGGACGATTCCCTTCTCAGTGTTTTCGGTACTCCCCAGACATGGGTCACAGCAGCCGGAGGTATCTCAGTCGTTTTTTCTCTGGAAACTCACGTGATCCACCGTATCAACCATGTCCCAACCTCTACAAACTCTCGGGTCGAAACATATCTAGTGTCATTCTCAGACAGTGGAGTATCTGAGCTCAACATTAGGGACTCGGTGAAGCCATTTGCCTATAACGGTCGTTTCGTTGCTTTCGAGAACAGGGGAGCGACAGTCGATCCTCATGTATTGTCGCTGGAGTCAAGCAATGATTCGTCTTTGAAGTTTGATATTTGGGTGCGCTGAGTTCTTTTGACTG